CTTGAAGACTGTCCAATCGAGCTCGATGTTGCTCTGGGGATTCCGTAAATCTCTTTGCCTTGAGGTTTTGAAGTCGCCTAGAATGTTCTTCTGGGGTTTGCATCGCTCGATTTGCTTTTAATCTCTGCAGACGCATGGCATGTTTTTGAGGATCTTCGATATCTCTTTGCGTCTTGAGGTTGTGCAGGCGCCTTGCGTGCTCTTCCGTAGATTCCTTTGCGCGCTTTGCCTTCAGCTTCTCTAGGCGAATCGTATGCTCTTTTGGAGATTCCTTGCTTCGAATCGCTGCTTGCACAGCACTTTGAGTGCTTAGTCGCTGTCGCCGATCATCAGCAGATTCAGTTGACCATTTCTGTGCGCGGTGAGCAGCCATGCGAAGCCGATTTGATTCCTTGCGGCGGCGAGCCTTCTCCTCGTCACGAGTCAGGGATGCATCAAGTGTTGTTGCAACCATCGCTGTCTTTAGTTCTGTTACAGTCACGCCGGTGACAGATACAATAGAAGCCTATTTAAAGTCGTCGTTAATTATACCGAACGTAATGATATTTGTCAATAGTTAGCATTACTTGGATGGAGTTGGATTGCCATGACGAAGCAGGAATCTCTCTCTTCGATTCAGTCACTTGCTCGGGGGTAGTTAACTCCTAATACAAATTCCTTGATAAGTACAACTAGTACTGAGTGTAATCATATTTGTCAATATTACTTGGTTCGAGTTGGTTTGGGTAATTTTTCGCCTCTTTTCATCGGGCGGTTTTGTTGGTTCCATATTTCCTAATCCTGGAAATTAATATCTCTATGATTTGATCACGCACGAGTACTCCTGTAATTTTATTGAACCTGTTTAATCCAATCACACAAAATACCTCCAGAGTTCGATATGGGTGGAAGTAAACAAAACCTCTGAAACTTAATACGTACCAGAATCGGCGATGACGGCTCTTGAACGAAAATCGGGGGTCGACGGACACGGAGCCACACACGGAGCCACACACGTAAGCCACACACACGGGGACACAAGTAAAGAGGGAAACCTCAAACACCCGACTTTATCGATACATTGTCCACGACGAAGGATAGCTTGGGCCATTCTAGTTGGCATACCATCTACCAAGTGCGATAGGTACTTTTGATCAATTTCCTCCCATGATTGGAGGATCTGGGCCTTCAATTGGGCCTTGGTGTCAAATTGTCGTCCATGGGCATAAACTTTGCGCGCTAGAACGCCCCACACATTCTCGATCGGGTTCAAATCAGGGCTCTTAGCAGGCCAAGTCATCGTTGTCCACGGCATTCCTTCCAACCAGGCCATTGTCGACCGTGATCGATGAATACTGGCGTTGTCTTGCTGGAAAATCGCTTCCCCATTTGGCGTCAACCCACGCAGAGCACGCATTTTTGGCAAGAGATATCCCCGAAGGGTGTCTTGGTACTTGACAGAGTCTTGACGGCCCTCTAAGAACGCAAGTTCGCCCTTGTTGTGGAAACTAATTCCACCCCACACCATCACTGAGGCACCCGCTTAGAGTACGTTTCGACATCTTCTCGCAAATCATGCCAATAATACTAGCAGCCATCGGTTCCGTCCAAGTTGAACCTTTTTCATCTGTGAACATCGTAGTCTTCATTACGTCGAGCTGGTTGAGGTACCGGGCGGCGAATTCTATGCGGTCTCTTTTGTGTTGAGGGGTGAGGCGGGGTCCGGACCGGCGTTTTATATACTTAGTGAATATTGACTTTTGAAGTACACGTAGCACGGTGGTATGCTTTACTTTACCACTTAGAACAGCCGAGATCTGTCTAGATGGCATTCCCTTGCGCGTAGCGAGCCGAAATACACGTCGGATCTCACGTTTGGTCAGCTTGATGCGTGTTCCGGGTCTATTGGGCGTCGTTGGCTGTCGGAGTTGACCAACATATCTCCGCACGAGTTTGTCGCTTTGTCCGATGGCATTTGCAATCCATCGCAACGACTTCTTCAGCCCCAGAAATGCTTTGATTTGGCCTTTTTCTTCCTCGGTGATGTTTGAGCGAGCATGCCGCGTGGCATGCTCAAATGGTGGTCTGAGTACATTGAAGACATTATTGTGACACACGCAATACTCGTAAGCACTTGGATTACTTTAAAGAACTTTGATTGGCTTATAAATGTCATTTATTGGTCGAATCAAAATAGTGCGTCTATAGTTTTGTTACACCCGAAATTTCGAAAATTTGATTTTTTTCGGGATCCACAAATACTTGAGCAAAATCCTTCTGTAGAGGTGCCTGGAATCACCGTTTAAAGGTTTTTGCCTTTGATGGTTTTGAATAAAACTTCAAATTTATGACAAACTCAGCGTCTATAGTTTTGTTCCGGACTGTACTTGTGGGCAACACAGGACAGTTTGCAGAAAAACTCTACATGACTCGAGTATTGACCACTTACGAATTCTATGACTCCAGTATTGACCACTTACGAATTCTATGACTCCAGTATTGACCACTTACGAATTCTATTATTATACTACAGTGTGTCCAGAAATTATAGACGCACCTAAATTTTCTTAATCCTGTAGTAGTTCGTTTCCGGACAAAAGAGTTCGTAAAACGGCTCAAAACGTTCGTACAAGGGCACCACCATTAACGTTACAGTGACGTAATAGTTACTGTTCCTTCACATCGCCGTGGCACCCGTAGTACTTGAAGAGGAGTTCGGTCCACCGTTCGATTCGAATCGGGTCTTGGCCGTTGCGAATGTTGGTCAAAATCGCAAACGACGGCGACATCGTAACGTGAAACGTGGCTTTTTGGTCGTCGGTGAAGTCGGTGACGTCGCCCGTGAGGCAGTTCTGCTGGAGCATGACGGTCATCTTGCGCAGCTCGTGGAACCCTTGGTCTATGGTCATTCCTTGCTTTTTCGCTTGGGCGAGTACGGCATCTTGGAATGACAGCGCGTTCAGGTTCTCTTCGAGCACCACGGGTTGCACCTCGTGCTCAACGTCAAAGGGGCTCGTGACGTTCTCCGAAAAGGACTCGAGTCTCGAGACCGCCATCGTGCCATCGCACTTGGAGTACAAATCCCCGAGCAGGCCCTTGAGCTCATACGAATACCCGAGGCTGCGGACGTCTGCAAACTGGTAGTATTGGTTCGGGAGATCTCGAAAGAACTCGCCCACGAGCGGATCATTTTCAATGTTCACTACCCCAGCCGGACCCTCCAACTTCATCATGATGGGCGACGTGGGGCCCAAGTTGTGGCCGTTGCCGGTGGTGCAGCCTTGGAACGACCGCGTGTCAGTCATCTTCTCAGCCTTGGACAACCCCAGTGGCTCGACCTTGCAGTGGTAGTAGATAGTATGCAGCAAGTCCAGCGTGTTATGATGGATGAAAAACACTGGATCCATGGGCGAAACAGCCACGTTGTTCTGCGGGCCGCTCAGTGTGATGTGGATGCTCGCGTGGGGAGACGATTCGATGGCCTGTGACAACAACCTAATGCTGCCGGCCACCTCAGGGGCCAGCAGCTGCCCGCGCACGGAATCAATCGACATGTCGGTGATCATTGGAATTGACGCCCAGTTACCGCGGGGGATGCAGTGGTCGCACGTGCTGCTACTAGCCCCGGCGACCGTGCACAGATGGTTGGCCGGGCGGTTGGTCACACATGTCAGAGCAGGGTACGAGTACCCAAACAAGTTTTTGGTTGACCTCTTGCCGACCGTGGAGCCGCCAATGTCGCCGAGCACGGGCGAGCATTCCTCGATCGAGCGACAGCGCTTCGCCCGAGGTGTGTTTTGCATGGTCGCGTAGTTTTGAACGTAGTCCCAGTACGGAAGGGTGAGGCACTTGTACCGATTCCCGAGACTGCGTAGCATGTTTTCGTACGCCAGCAAGAGCTTGCGATGCCAGAAAAGAAACACGCACGAGTTGTGCGCCTCGGTAGTGCTCATCGTCTCCTTGTGGATCTCGACAAACTTATGGTACAGCCCGCGGTCCATGGCGAGTTCGATCGCGGAAATGTACGTGTTCTTCTCGGCGGCGGTAAGGGCTTCCCAGGACTTGCGGATGCGCTTGCACGTAGGTTTGGGGCTAGGTTTGGGGCTAGGTTTGGGGGTAGGTTTGGGGGTAGGCGTAGTCTTGGCGGGAGTGGTGGTTGGCGCGGGGGTCGCTTTGAGCACGACGCCAGAAACCCCACCAGGCAGCGACAACGATGCGCCTTGGGCTGACTTCAAGAAGCACACACCATCGTACCAGTTGAACGCGGTGCAGCCAGGTGTGGCCTGGCAGTCGCCGCAGCACTTGCCGGGGTTGGCTCGGTCAGTGGTGGAGATGTCGTTGCCTTCGAAGTCGACGTTGGGGATCGCCGAGCACGTGTTGGCTTGGGCGGATGTCGTCGTGACGGCCACGACGAAGAGGATACGAAGCATAGCTCGTGTGGATACCATTTTGCTGGTCGCGCAAATTGAAAAGTGACAAAAACGAATGCCACAACGTTCGTTGGCACACACAACATAAAACTGGTTCAAATGAGCATAAAGCGAAAGGTAGTGTTATGTGATGATACTATGTGCAATGTCAGAGAGATCCAGTCCAATTGATGTGTGGTCAGATAAACTCCCAAATCAACCAAACTGGACGAAACGAATGCTATTCGTCAAAATAGTTGGCCCACAATCCAATGCTAGGCAAACATGGATATGGTATAATTCATAGTTAACGTTATGTCGTGTAGTACATATTGTCCGAGGCACTTTCATTAAAACATCAATAAAACCTACACAGGTACCGTGGTGACGCCGCCACCAACATCAGCGTTACTTGTACCGTACAATAGTGTTACTGTATCGCAATTTGCAATCATCACCAACTGGGTTGTGGTTAACAGTAAAGACCCAGAAGAACTATTTTGAACGCAGAGTGGGGTAGGTAGGGTATAAATTCAAGTTCGACTGTGATGTGCAAACTGTACATCAGATAAAACTGTCACTCAAATGCGACAACATGTACGGTACTCCTGTACCTGGAAGTACTAAGAGGTGCCTTCCGACAAAGTTAAGTGCATTCCTGTAGTGGCGTTAAGCTAGCTTAGTCGTACTAACGTTAGTATAGTTGCTGCTTGTCGCGTGTCGAGATTTCGGCGGTGAAAAGTTGGTAAAATTTGGAGTTCCCCTAGAACACTGCACGATACATACATAGGTGCAAGAATGCAGAGAACAGCGCTAAAGAATGTTAAGCCAGTGCCGCAAACGAACCCAAGGACGATTCTATCATCAATCTGCCTTCCAAATCGCGATCTCATATGAGGAGTACCGAATGAAGTCGCGAACAACCAGAGCAGCGGTGATCCCATTGTCAGGAGCAATTCCACCATTAATACAGTCCCAATATTGTTTTGACCCGAAATTATTCCACATGAATCTTTCTGTAGTGAGAACAATAAAATTATGTTGTGTACTGTACAACTGTGTCCAAAATAACCATCGTTCCCTGTACATAACGCGTCACTGCGGTTAGCACCCAGTGAACCCCAAACCTCGTGCGACCTCTACCCGATGTCAAGGGTCGCCCTTCCACACGAACTATGAAGTGAGAGGGCGATGGGAAACGTCCGATTAATTCACTTGAAAAAGAACTCGTGAAGTCGCAGGTGGAAACAAACATCAATGTAATCTTCACGGCGTCAGTATGAAGCTTCAGTGTGCGGTACTACTGTATGCTAGCCCTTCTAAGCTTAACCACATTTGTTGACTAGTTTCGTGAACATAAGGTGTCAAACGAGGAACAATTCCCTCACTGCAACAGTAGTATTGTTGAAATGTAATCAAGAGCCCTTTTAACCCCGGAACCCCTGGACCCCTTGAGCTTACATCCAATGCTACTGTATTCCCGGGGTAAAGCTGAAATGAGTTGTTTTGAATTTACACTTGATTTGACTATGTGTCAGAAATGACTTGGGTTTTGTATGCCAGGAGGCCCAAATGATTACGTACCAACAGTACTGTACTACTGTTGCAGTGAGGGAATAGCTGGCCAAAGTGGGTTGACCGCGTCGACTCTGTTCTGCAACAAGGGAGAATTTTTTATGAAGTTACACCAGGTAGTATTACTAATACTACTAGTAAGCTTACTATTAATACTATTAATACTTCAAGTATATATACTACTGTAAGTCATGTGGCGCTTTGATTGCACCACGCTGTAAAGTGAGTGGCGTGGTACTAGTAACGTCTACTAGTATGTGTGTGCAATACTATAATACTAGTATTTCCCTTTATTTGACATTGCGATCCACCCACTACCGTTAACATGTAAACGGACATTGCCGTGATGTTCACAGAATTGCTGACTCCTTTCGTCACCTTCCCAAATCGCTCGTTTGACGAACTGATGATTCTGCGCTACTTGAAGGGTTAAACCGGGTATTTGCTTCACCACCTGTCGGATAGGATGTGAAACTTAATTCCTGATCATATATTTACCTATATATTTATAGAAATTTACTATCCAATCGCTACCCGTTCTATATTAGAAAGAAAACATTTCATCGCCGCATATGCACATGTGCACAAAAAATTCGACACTCGAAGCATGCGCGCATGAGCAAAATGCGGAACTTTTGTGGGTGAATACATAGGCTAGGAATGACGACGAGGGATGGGACGCATACCAACTTGTAGACTATTACACGGCACATGTGCACATCACAACCTGCACCGTGGCAGCTAACTATAGATAGCGGCATCTCATGCGCATGTGCACGCATGTGCCCGAAAAACTACAAATTCGTCCTCCACCGTCGTCGTTTTCGTCCACTGTACTTCACGTTGGTAAGAATGATTGCATGCACTACCTTCCTACACATGTGGAGTACATGATCTCCCAGTTTCAGCTCACCTTCATGCGTCACTCCCGAGAATTTGACCACCTGCGCTTGGACTTTCTGCACATGCGCACATGTGCGAGCACAGCAAGTATACAAGTCAATTTTAAAAAGATCATGCATTTCCACATGTAACGTTCAAAACCATGTAAAATAATTCAACACAAATTTCTATATAAAAAGTTGATATATTACAACATACATTGAGACTCGGATAAAATACCGTTCTAATACAAGGTGTCGGAGGAGATCTGGTAAACCGGTATACACCACCGATGTACTTGCATCCCAACATCCTCGTGTTCTCACGTATGAAATCAACACTTTGAAGTAACGTTAGCATGCTGCATGAAGGACAGACTTAGTTGACATGCGAGATAATCGCGAGTTTTCGTTCATTTCCTGCATCTCCCTGTAACACCTTGTCATTTTTTTAATTGAACCATTTTCCAGAAATTACACGAAGTCAGCTAGTCTCGCTGTGCAAATTCCTTCCTGAGATTCATGTCTCCATTAACTGTAAAGCACTGTGATGCTACATGTTTAGCTCCAGAAATTATACTGTAACCGGTAGGGAACCCCCCAGGCACCACACCAAGGGCGTCACGGCGTTTTAACTGTTACTACGGGAGTACCAGTATTGTACTGAGCTTGCAGTACAGTACTTCGTAGTAACTACACCTTTTTGCAGTTAAGTTGGACGAATGCCCGATGTATTTGGCCGTGCACCCGATATATTTGGTGGTGTGCCCGATATAATTAGCCATGTGCCCGTTTAATTTGGCCCGCCGAGGTCGTGTGCCCGATATATTTCGCGGTGTGCCCGATATAATTAGCCGTGTGCCCAAGTAATTGGCCATCTGCCCGATGAATTGTGTCGGGTGCCCGATGAAAATAGAATAACTCAAATAATTATATTCCATGGAGTGCAAATCAGTTTCAGTGGAAACATCATGTGGTTGAAGTTCGGAGGAAAACGCGCGAAGGCCTAGAATTCGAAAACTATACTTGAGTAAAGTATAGTTTAAGTTCATAATACGCGCGCTTTCCTCCAGCATTCTGAATGCTCATTATTCAAATCGCCAAGTTACGCACAGCATGGACGTCGTTGCACCCCCGCGAACTCCGGTAATACATGTAGTGCCAATTGAAGTACTAGATAACCCCCTCGGTAGCCACGAGGCTCCTACAAACGCATACCTCTTTCCGCAAAGCTACGAGTCGTCGCAGCGTTCAGAAACGACGACGACTGGAAAACCGTGGCGTTCGCCAACGGGATAAAGAAAAGTACTGCTCGAAATTAATGTTGAATCCGATCGAGAATTTGTGGTCGTCGATGAAAGCCCAAATCAAGACACTCCGGCGTGAGCGACTAGCCGCGTTCATGGGCCCACCACCGAATGGTTTGACTCGCGATGAATTCCGAATACAATATCTCGAGCGAATTGGTGAACAGGTTATCGAGGATAAGTTTCGCAGCATTATTGCATTTCTTAAAAGTTTGAATAGGGGTCGGTCGATGCTATCCGTTTGAATCGATACGCGCTACGCCTCGAATACTTTTACGGACGCGCGGAGGCCATGGACGACTTGGAAGTTGGCATGTGATGCCAAAACGAGGATGTTATGTGTATCATTTCGACTGCATTTTTTAATTGAGTTCAATTTTTAATTTGAGTTATTCTATTTTCATCGGGAACACGACACAATTCATCGGGCAGATGTCCAATTACTTGGGCACACGGCTAATTATATCGGGCACATCGCCAAATATATCGGGCACACGACCTCGGCGGACCAAATTAAACGGGCACATGGCTAATTATATCGGGCACACCACCAAATATATCGGGTGCACGGCCAAATACATCGGGCATTCGTCCAACTTTACTGCAAAATGGTGTACTAGTAGTAGTAATGATGCGGGGGTATTACTAGTGTACCAGTACATTTTAGTAGTAAGTTTCTAAACAACTTCCTTGACGTCACCGCGGCAGTTGTAGAACTTGGAGAGGATGTCTTGCCAGTGCTCGATGCGGACGGGATTGGTCCCACTTTTGATGTCCTGCAAAAGGGCAAACGACTTGGACGATCCTGTGATGTGCCACTCGGCTTTGAACTCTGGCGTAAAGTCCGCGACGGAGCCCGGCATGCAATTCTCCTGCAGCAACAAGTTCATCTTTTGCACCTCCAAGTACGCTTCGTCCGTGGTCAGTCCTTGGCTGTCGGCTTGGGCGAGGACGGCGTCTTCGAACGCCAGCACGTTTTGGTTTTCTGCCAGCACGACTGGCTCGACAACGTGGTCAATGGTCACGTTGGCATGGCTCACTTCTTGAACGCTCTCGATGCCACCGGTGGAGCTACTACTGCTTCCGCATGTGGTGTACATGTCCCCCAGCAGTCCCTTAATATCAAACGAGTAGCCCAATTGACGGGCGTCCGTGAGTTTGTAGTACTGCGTGGGCAAGTCCTTGAAGAACGACCCAATGAGCGGGTCGTTGGCCACTTCAATCGTTTGGCCCGAAACGACCAGTCGCATGCGAAGCGAGGACGTCGGCCCGACGGTTTCACCGTTGCTGGTGGAGCATCCCTGGAACGACCGGAGGTCGTTTTGCTGCTGCAAGTCGCTCAAGTTGAGCGACTCGACTTTGCAGTGGTAGTAGATGGTATGCAGCAAGTCGATCGTGTTGTGGTGCATGAAAAAGATGGGGTCCACGGGGGACATCTGGGCGTTGGCCATCGGACCGTTCAAAGTGGCATGAATCATGTTGTGGGGCGAGTTTTCAATGTTGTCCGAAACGGTTAGGATGTTGGAGCCCCCTAGCACGCTTTGGCGAACGTTGGCAATCCCCATGTCTGAAATCATGGCAGTGTTAGCCCAGTTGCCGCGAGGGGTGCATTTCGGACAAGAAGCAGAGCCAGGGGTAGTGCACATGTGGTTCACAGGACGTTGGTTGACGCAGCGGTTGCTCGGGAATGTGTAGCCAAAAATCGACCCCCGGAAAACTGACCCGCGGGTGGAGCCCCCCAATCCGGTCGCGATGGGGGAGCAGGTTTCAATCGAGGTACATCGCTGGGCTTGGGGAGTGTTTTGCATGGTCGCGTAGTTTTGGACGTAGTCCCAGTACGGAAGGGTGAGGCACTTGTATTGGTCCCCGAGACTGCGCAGCATGTTTTCAAACCCGAGGAGGAACTTGCGATGCCAAAACAGAAACACGCACGTGCCGTGCGCCTCGCGGTTGCCCATTTGCTCTTGGTGAATGAGGACAAACTTTTGGTACAGTCCACGATCCATGGCGATCTCTATCGCGGACACGAACGTTTCTTTTTCGGCAGCGGTGAGTGCATCCCAGGACTTTCGAATACGGGGACAGGAAGGGACGATTGTGGTTGTGGGTGCAGGCGTTGGGGCTAGTGTAGGCACAGGAGTGGGCTTGGTAGATGCAGGAGTAAGTTTGGGGGTAGGTGCAGGAGTAGGGACTGGGGTAGGCAGAGGTGTGGGTTTTGGGGTAGGTGGAGGAGTAGGAACTGGGGTAGGCACCAGTGTAGGTTTGGGTGTAGGTTTGGGCGTAGGTTTGGGTGTAGGTGCAGGAGAAGGGACTGGGGTAGGCACAGGTGTGGGTTTGGATGTAGGTGCAGGAGTTGGGACTGGGGTAGGTTTGGGTGTAGGTTTGGGTATAGGTGCAGGAGAAGGGACTGGGGTAGGCACACGTGTGGGTTTTGGGGTAGGTGGAGGAGTAGGAACTGGGGTAGGCACAGGAGTAGGTTTGGGTGTAGGCACAGGAGTAGGGACTGGGGTAGGCACAGGTATGGGTTTGGATGTAGGTGCAGGAGTTGGGACTGGGGTAGGCACCAGTGTAGGTTTGGGTGTAGGTGCAGGGGAAGGGGCTGATGTAGGCACAGGTGTGGGTTTGGATGTAGGTGCAGGAGTTGGGACTGGGGTAGGCACCAGTGTAGGTTTGGGCGCAGGTGCAGGAGTAGGGACTGGGGTGAGTTTAGGTGTAGGGTTCGGGGTAGGTACAGGCGTAGGGGCAGGAGTAGGCTTGGGAGTGGGCACAGGAATTGGGACTGTAGTAGGCGTGGGAGTAGGTTTAGGGGTAGAGGCGGGAGGAGGGGGGAGAGTCGTTGGCTGAGCTGTCGCGATGAGTCCTGAGACCGCCCCGGGCAACGGGTAGGAGTTACCTCGGGCATTTTTGAGGTAACATACCCCATCAAACCAGTTGTATGCTTTGCATCCTAGCGTGCTTTTGCAGTCTGCGCAACAGTTGGCGGGATCGGATTGATACGTGGCCCCAATATCTCCACCATCCAAGTCGACATCGGGAAGAATCGAACACGTCGAGTGGATTGGTTTGGATGTAGTGGGGGCAGAGACCATGCCAAGGATGCCGGACACGGCCCCTGGGAGTAGAATGGACGAGCCCTGGGCGGACTTGAGGTAGCACACTCCGTCAAACCAGTTGTACAGCTTGCAATTGGGCGTGATTTCGCAGTCAGCGCAGCACTCGGTCGGATTCGCTCGGTTCGTGGTCGAGATGTCATACCCGTCGAAGTCTACGTTGCGAAATTCCGAACACGTTTGCCCTGACACGATGTCCACCGCCAACGCCAGCACGGTTGCCGCTACTTGGAATGCCTTTGATACCATTGCTGGTGAATTGGAAATGAAGGTGTGTCGTCCGCAAACAATACGACCATATGACATCAGACTCGATATATGCAACAGTAGAAGAGCTACTAGTACTAGTAAGTGCTAACGAGCAAAGTGACATGTCGAGAGCGTCTCAAGGTCGGGATAGGCTACCCAATATGTACTAGTACTTGTATGCAATGAGTTACCGGTATACGTATAGATTGACAATGCGTCGAAATTATACAGTATTGTGTCCTGTGCCGCGATATACCGTGCATTATGATGTAATGTCCTTACTACAGTAAGGATTATCCATTTACTGTACAATAAACTACGAAGTACTACGTAGTACTAACTACCTGGTAGTACTAGTACTTCGAAGTACAGTACTGTAGTATTACAGAAGTGCTGGGAACTGTGTGAAGTGGCATGCAACCAACGGATGTCGCTCCTGGGTCGTACTCAGTATATACCACCACCACTGATTGACTTTTTGAACGTTACGATACGCTCTCAACAATGTGCGACGTTTGAAGCGATTTTGCACTTGTCATACTTGCTAGTAATTCCCTAAAAGAACAGTTTCACTGTAATCATCGCACCTGTTCCTATTACTACAGTAGTACAAGTATGTCATAGTCAAATGCAATGTAAACGAAAAATACACATTCCAGCTTGGGGTTACGGGTAAGTGCATTTCAGAGGTTAGCGATAGCGAACCACTGGTGATGCAACTTAACCGAGGGAATAGCAACACAAGAGGTCCGGGGGTTCCGAGCTTACAGGGCTACTGGTTCATTTGAAGGGAAATGATGACGTAAGCAACATTACAACTGTTGCTCTAAGGGAATTATACCTTGATACCACATGTGGCCAATGGCAATAGGGAAGGTCTTTGTATTGTTCTGCATGGTTCTGACTCGTGGCCCAAGGACTTGGACCACGAGTCCTTGGGTTTTTGACATGCAACGCACAACTACTGTATTAATAGTACCACATTCTATATCCAGTACTATTACTAGTATAAATAGTAGTACTTCTATTTCCAATGTGAATTTAAAAATCTGAAGACATCCTCATTAAGTACTGAAGACAACGAAGTTACTTGCCTTGAAGGCATAAAAAAACAGCAAATCGAATTCAGCACGTCGTTTTTAAAAGCAGATACTTAAAGCAAGACAAGTCCATACAGATAAATGGGATAGTTATCCGAAAATCAGAATGTTGATCAAGTTTGAGCGGCAAACTTGAGATGCAAAATCCCGCGTTTCATGAAAGGTTGACCGCGGACCAGCGACGTCCTGTCGCGGACCACCTCCTCTTACCTCGTTTAAGCCATGCAAGCTTAAACGAGGGGCCATAACTGAAGTGCCTCGAATCTTTGGAGGCAATCCACTTACTATTACCAAGATATGGCAGCATGCCAACATGTCACGCAGTGGATACAACTTGCACATGTGCGAAATGATATGTGAGAGCATAGTAAGCCTAAAACGTACGTGTCGGGCGTAAACAGAAGTACACTGACCTCACAGATCGTCTACGTGCTGTTCCAGCGTCGCAGCGAACAACACTCATGTACTGTAATTGCCCATGCCATCGGAATACCAAGGACACTCAAGGACTACTACAGACGTGATCTAATCGTGAAATACAACTCTCATGTCAATAACAAGGTAACAGATGTGAACAAGACTGCTCGCATCAAGTGCGCCACCGACCTTGCTCAGCCCAGCGACACTTACGCGTTCCATTACATCTAAGACTACCTACATGTGGATGAGAAGTGGTTCCATGCAACACCAATCCGATCCTGGTTGTACCTACTCTCAGGAGAACGGCCCCCACATCTTTCGATTGAGAGCAAATGATTCATGACCAATCTCATGTTCCTATCGGCGGTGTGGCATGGCCTAGATGGGACAACGTGTGTAGCACTGCGGGAGGAAGCGTGTGTAGTTGAGGGCAAAATGCACAATGAATTAACTGAAGATCTACAAAGATCTCCTTAATCCTCATCACTATGAAATCTTCTTAATCTACTTCACTACTTCTACACTAATATGCATTTTTGTATACAGTGGATGCGGGTGCGGTTGAGACATTGGGAACTTCACTAGGCTAGCGATTCTAAGCTATACTTGCCCTTGAGACACGTTCCCAGGCAAGCATGAGCTAGGGTGCGTTATGAGCCAGGTACTTAGGAGCTGGGTGCGGGCAAGGTGGTGGCAAGCCGTTAACCCACCTGTCACATCGCTACAGTGGTCCGTCCAACCTGCCAACGATCCAGCAGCGCCCAGGAAAACTTGAAGCACGACCAACGCTGCACGATGTACGCCAAGCTCCTGGAATACTGCCCATTCTGCGGCGCGGCCGATAGTTCCGCACACACTTTCTGGCTCTGTGGTCGGGCACGCTACCTCTGGACCATCACCCTCCGCATCTGGTTCGACCCACCACCACCC